GGCCCCTAGTAGCTACTTGCTCCTAGTGGTCCGGCCAGGAGCTCCTAGCAAGTAGCTACTAGAAGTGCGGCCAAGAGGCCCCTAGTAGCTTGCTCCTAGTAGTACGGCCAAGAGCTCCTAATAGCCACTTGCTCCTAGTAGTACGGCCAGGAGCCCCTAGTAGTACGGCCAGGAGACCCCTAGTAGCTACTTGCTCCTAGTAGTGCGGCCAGGAGCCCGTAGTAGCTACTTGCTCCGGTAGTAGCTACTTGCTCCTAGTAGTACGGCCAGGAGCCCCTAGTAGCTACTTGCTCCTAGTAGTACGGCCAGGAGCCCCTAGTAGCTACTTGCTCCTAGTAGTAGGGTCAGAAGCCCCTAGTAGCCACTTGCTCCTAGTGATGCCAGGGGGCCCTAGTAGCTTCTTGTTCTACGGGCAGGAGCCCCTAGTAGCTACTTGCTCCTAGTAACGATACCAGCAGCCCCTAATAGCGATGCCAGGAGCCCCTATAGTAGCGTCTTGCTCCTAGCAGCGATGCCAGGAGCCCCTAGTAGCGTCCTTGCTCCTAGTAGCGATGCCAGGAGCCCCTAGTAGCGTCTGCTCCTAGTAGCGATGCCAGGAGCCCCTAGTAGCTTCCTGTTCCGAGTAGTACGGCCAGGAGCCCCTAGTAGCGTCCTTGCTCCTAGTAGCGACGCCAGGAGCCCCTACTGGCGCCCTTGCTCCTGGTAGCCATGCCACCCCTAGTAGCGTCCTTGCTTCTAGTAGCGATGCCAGGAGCCCCTAGTGGCGTTCTTGTTCCTAGTAGCGATGCCAGGAGCCCCTAGTAGCGTCCTTCTAGTAGCTTCTTGTTCGTAGTGGCGATGCCAGGAGCCCCTAGTAGCTTCTTGTTCCTAGTAGTACGGCCAGGAGCCCCTAGTAGCTACTTGCTCTTAGTAGCGATGCCAGGAGCTTGCGTCCTTGCTCCTAGTAGCGACGCCAGGAGCCCCTAATATAGCTTCTTGTTGGCGATGCCAGGAGCCCCTATTGGTAGCTTCTTGTTCCTAGTAGTACGGCCAGGAGCCCCTAGTAGCGTCCTTGCTCCTAGTAGCAATGCCAGGAGCCCCTAGTAGTGTCCTTGCTCCTAGTAGCGATGCCAGGAGCCCCTAGTAGCTTCTTGTTCCTAGTAGCCCCTAGTAGCGTCCTTGCTCCTATGCCAGGTGCCCCTAGTAGCGTCCTTGCCCCTAGTTACCGATGCCAGGAGCCCCTATAGTAGCGTCCTTGCTCCTAGTAGCGATGCCAGGAGCCCCTAGTAGCGTCCTTGCTCCTAGCAGCGATGCTAGGAGCCCCTAGTAGCGTCCTTGCTCCTAGTAGCGATGCCAGGAGCCCCTACTGGCGCCCTTGCTCCTAGTAGCCATGCCACCCCTAGTAGCGTCCTTGCTTCTAGTAGCGATGCCAGGAGCCCCTAGCGGCGTTCTTGTTCCTAGTAGTACGGCCAGGAGCCCCTAGTAGCGTCCTTGCTCCTAGCCCCTAGTAGCTTCTTGTCGTTCGTAGCGGCGATGCCAGGAGCCCCTAGTAGCTTCTTGTTCCTAGTAGTACGGCCAGGAGCCCCTAGTAGCTACTTGCTCCTAGTAGCGATGCCAGGAGCTTGCGTCCTTGCTCCTAGTAGCGATGCCAGGAGCCCCTAGTAGCGTCCTTGCTCCTTTGCTCCTAGTAGCGATGTAGCGATGCCAGGGGCCCCTAGTAGCGTCCGTGCTCCTAGTAGCGATGCCAGGAGCCCCTAGTATAGCTTCTTGTTGGCGATGCCACTAGTAGCTTCTTGTTCCTAGTAGCGATGCCAGGAGTCCCTACTAGCTTCTTGTTCCTAGTAGCGATGCCAGGAGCCCCTAGTAGCTTCTTGTTCCTAGTAGCGATGCCAGGAGCCCCTAGTAGCTTCTTGGTGGTTCGTTTTTACTTGTGGCACTTGCAACTTAGTTAAGACACTTATAGGACTTAAGCAACTTGTAAGTAGTACTTAGGGAACTTAGGTTTTATTAGTTTTTTAATTATAACCGTAAGTTGTATAAATTACTTGTAACTAACTTATAAGTTCTGTAAGTTCCTGGACGACCAAAAGTATAGTCTCAAACAAGTTTTTTTAAAAGAACCAAAAAATTAGAAAAACTAAATTTTCGTCTTGAGATGGGCAGGCAGCTGTGAGAAAAACTAAGTGTTCGTTTGCAGATCCACGTGCCTTCGTGTCAGACCACATGAAGCGCAGCCATAGCAAACACTCCCTCAACACCTCAAGCTGGAAGTCTGCATCTTTCTCAAACCAAGGCATGAGAACCATGATGTTGGCCACGCTCATCCGAACATGTTCTGCGCACAGGCTGGTCATGTCTACCAAAACTGCTCTTGTTCTTTGAACTTCAATGGCAACTGATGTTCAATGATTGTTTCTTCAGCTTGATTCAGCTCAACCCTTTGAAAAATATACAGGGGTTACATATAGGTTGGCTGGTGGTCAATTGATGGGCTAGATCTAGGTTGGCTGGCGGCCCATTGGGCCGCCCAGATGTGTTGGTCAATTGATGGGCTAGATCTAGGTTGGCTGGCGGCCCATTGGGCCGCCCAGATGTGTTGGCTGGCGGCCCCAGTGGAAAAATACCATATACTCTAGACTCTAGACCTTATGCAAAGGGTCCTGTACCAAAAGTACTAGTCCTGGAAAAGCAATGCATCAAACATAAACCTTGATTCATTTGCCATTGAACCATTCAAAACAGAACTACCATAGCTTCACCTGATATATCTAAATATTCGGGTTGCTGACCAACAACTTTCACACACATAAAATTTGACTAGCCGATTGTTTTCACATATCACGGAATCACAAATGTATAAAAATGTATAAAAATGTATAAATCAATGCGGACCTAAATTTATACATGTATAAATCAAAAATATCAATTTATACATGTATAAATCACCCCATTTTCAATTTATACATGTATAAATTGATAACGAAATCGATTTATACATGTATAAAAATGTATAAATTCAATTTCTGAATTTTAAGCATTTTGCTTGTCATGCGATGAGCTTTTATCAAATAGAATTCATTTCTCAGAGTTGCCAACCACACCACCTCATAAGTTTAGACATTCCCTGACTCCCTGATTTTTTTAAAAATCCAGGAGTCAGGATTTAAGTTTTGCTGATTGAGAGCTTTGCTGATTGAGTGCAACAATGCTTTTTGTTTGCTGGCGTTTGCTGGCTCCAAGTGTGCGCTGCTCATGCGACGCGTCCTCAGCTGCCGGTACTGCTGAAGATGGAGCCTGTGCAGCCTAGGAGGATGACGTATGCGGAGCAGCTGGAGGCAATGCCGCCACCTTGCGGGTTTTGCATCCTGGCGGACGGGACCATCCTGCTGTCCAATCGGCCGGAGACCTACACGGCGGAGATGGTGGTTGATGCCTATGAGGCATGGCGAAAGATGAAGGCAGATGGCTTAGTGCGTGAGACCCGACCTGCGGCTCCAAGAGCGACATCCATCATCTGCTCAAGATGGCACGCAGTTCAATGTATATATTTTTTGCAAGAGACACAATCTGCGGCTCAATGAGCCGCATGTTTTTTTATACAGGAGCAACATCCATCATGAGTCAGCCATGACCATGACAAGACGGCATACGGCTCAGTGAGCTGCTTGATGAACACGCGATCGGAGCATGAACTCGATTTCAAGTTTAAGAATCAAAGTGCGAAAAAAACACGATTTGATCAGTTTTGGTGTAAATTAGAAAAACTTGAAATTGTATATCTCAAAAAGTTAAGTTCCCTAAGTTAGTTATAACTTATTTTTGACTAGTTTTTGATAATCTAGATATAGAACTTAGAAATTTCTAACTTTTGCTAACTAACTTGCAAGTGCCACATCTTAACATAAAAACTTGTGCTAGTTACAGAACTTGTAACCCCTTCGTAACTAAGTTACCAACCACTTACAAGATACTTACAAGTTCCCTAGCCAAAAATGAACCACCAAGTTCTTGTTCCTAGTAGCGATGCCAGGAGCCCCTAGTAGCTTCTTGTTCCTAGTAGCGATGCCAGGAGCCCCTAGTAGCTTCTTGTTCCTAGTAGCGATGCTAGGAGCCCCTAGTAGCTTCTCGTTCCTAGTAGCGATGCCAGGAGCCCCTAGTAGCTTCTTGTTCCTAGTAGCGATGCCAGGAGCCCCTAGTAGCTTCTTGTTCCTAGTAGGGATGCCAGGAGCCCCTAGTAGCTTCTTGTTCCTAGTAGCGATGCCAG